ATAAACCAATCCATAAACCCAAATACGATTAGCAACAACGACTATGATGGGTTTATTGATGAATGTTAAAGGCGATCCAGATGATTTCTAAATTTAGAAGACATGGAGATATAGTGTAACGTATGTATGGGCCAGGTTAACATGCAGGTTTTTGACGTATATGACGATTTAAAAATAATGAACATGACCAGAAAATAATTTTAAAGTTTAGACTGCTTGTGAAACTTCAGGCAGGAATATGACGCGTTATAAACATTCCATAAGAAGTTACTGCATTCAGCCTAGGGACACTTACAAATATATGGCAAAAGCAACTGGAAAACACATATATGTTCGGTACAAAAAATCATTAAGTAAGATAGTTGAACTCGCCTGGGTTATTTTCGATTATATTATTCAGTGGACGACATATATAACGCCATTCGTGAGGAGTAGTAGTGATCCAAAATTATCCAGAATAAAACATGCAGTATGGCAATTAATTCCAGAGTCCTTGATGCTGTTGATGTTTTTGCCACTCGCTCGGATCAGAACAACCGGATGAATTCAGATAATTGAGCGGTCACCATTGAACGAGCCATCTAAAATGACCTTATGAGTGCAGAAAACTTATGGCTGAAACCCACCGTATGTTTTTAGAGAAGTCATCCTCGTTGTTTGGCAATGGAACTCGAGAATATGAAATTAGGCAGGCAGTGGTCGGAAGAAAAGATATTACAGGATAGTGCATCGTTTAAAACAGGATGAGGTGTTAAGTGAAGGAACACTGAGAATTAGATCCAGAGAACTATTTAGTCCTTGATCGCATTGTTAGTCAATGTATATTTACGCTATTTACAGGTCATATTTGCTAGAGCTTGATGTTTAAACAAGACTATGTCGCTGAAGCATGTAAATGCTATTACAGCTTGTTAACAAACCATCAAAGCTAATTAGTTAATATAGACGACCAGTTTTTATTATCGATTGAGCTAGTTTGTCATGTGGACTAATCAATATAACATTACGATAATGCATGTGAGCATTAATCAGAGGACTATTAGAATACAGGGTTAACATAAATATAAAATTGATCGGGAAAGTTGAAGTTGAAATAAGGATTAATAATAACAGGTTGCGTTTCTTTAGTTGGGCTCACCAATGTAGAATTATGGTCTACTATGATATTAGTACTGCTCTAATAATAAACCTAATCCTAAACTTGTCGATTTGTCATGATATAACTGCCTAATCTATAAGATCTTACGTGGAAGTCACACCATCGACTACACCAACTCACTGTATCGTATCAATTACCAATACATGATGAGGAACAAGATTAGGCTAGAGAAAGAACAATATATTTTATATGAATAGAAGTTATAAAGTAACACTGAGATGGACCACGCCTGTATGGACGAGCCATGCCACTCGATCAACTCCAGTCCAATCGATTCATTCTTCGCGCCTTCTCCATCGTTAGGTATTTATCCGCGTTAAATATTGAATATCTATTTTCCGAGTAGTGTTGTGTTCAGCTTTGAAGATTGTGTGGTTATGGTCCAATGCCACTACACATGCACTTGGTTGAGTTGACACCAAACTTCCAATGGTACCAACAAAACTGCCCAGATTGTCTGGACATTTGTGACCTGTTTTATGACTTGCATCGTGGTCGTTGTGGTGACCTGCTCCTGTTTCTATGACCCATTTGCATTTTGGCGACAGCCTCAGTGAGACTCTTAACACTCGCAATGAGTCCTTCTATGACTGGGTCTTTCGCTGATTCTACTTTTTGTGTGTGATTTATTGTGCCTGATCCAGTTGGAGGACCTCTTTCCATTATTCTATCAGCTATACGCGCGAAATGAGATAATGAGGTTTCAGGATCTTGTGCATCCAAACATTGTTGGACGTAGCATGGGAGAGCTTGTATCCATCCTTGTTTTAGTACTGCTTCACCCACTGTGTTATCACCCACTAAGACTTGGAGGTGGCGTAAAAACTGTGACGACGACTTATCATCTAATGTTTCTCCTTGGAAAAGTCTTTGGATTCTTTGGCTGTCTGATAATGATAAACGGTTCATTATCTCTCGTCTTAAGATGGTGTATGGTTTTGGTAATGGTGGAGTTAAAATCAAGTCACGGACTTCTTTGGCGACTGAAGGAGGAAGGATAGAACACAAATCTCTAAAGCGAATCCCTTCAGATTTGATATTGTGTCTCGTGAAATAATTCTCTAGTTGAGCGAACCACAACTCAGGATGGATGCTTTGGAACCCGTATAAAACAAAGGACGTTGTTACGGAAATGTGTTAGCAAAAGTAGGTACAAGGAAGAAGTTGAGACCATCACCGTATGAGTTAGTTCATAGCGTGCAATCGATTGATGCGTGTTACTTGTCCTTGACCCTGACGGGATCGGCGAACCGTTCGACATACGGGGACTCAACCGCCAGATGATTTCGCAAGGGCTCAACGACATTTGATTGGTTCTACGGACACTTTATGCGTAACAATATTGCTATTCAATCTCTTTATTTTATATTCATCAGTTGTAAGGTATACATAGCTCGTAACGTCATTACGTATTACCAAATTCATTGTCCGAGTCCTCACTTTGACTTCCGTCAGTATTACAGCAAATAACCAACCAGAGAATTCTATATTGTACCAAAAACATAATATTGAATAAAGCTGACGGTAATGATAATAATAATAATAAGAGTCACAGTGAACAGGTTCTCCCTGCTGCTATCGTATAACTTGCCTTCAACACCTCGAAGTTGCGAAACGGGTGGTGAGCTTCAGCGTAACAAGTCTTCTTACACGCAGACTAACGAAAAATGCCAGAGAACTGGCCACCCAAATCACCCTCTGAAGCCTAAAATCATAAATAAAAATGGGGCGAGACTAATTTAGGGACGACCTTTGAACGACTCTTAAGTGACCTTGACAATTATTAGCCAATCAGAAGACAGTTAGTATAAAGTGGAAATACATTATATGAAAGTAATGAATTACAGTGGATATTCTTCTATTACATGATTTAAAAACTTGTTCAGGTTTGATTAAGGTTCAGAGGTTCTGAATTCATAATGCATATGGTATAGAAACTCGTCCATAGGGTTAGGGATAAGGTTAGGGGGGTTAGGTGAGGGTCAGGGTTTACAGTTAAGGTTGGGGTTAGGATGCTAACATACGATCGGTTTACAACGGATTTTAGAGAAGAGGTGTTTATTGAGAGGCTACAACCCTAACCCTAACCCTAGGCTACAACCCAACTCTAAGCCCTAACCCTATGGACGAGTTTATGTACCGTATGCATTATGAATTCAGAACTTCTGAACCTTAATCAAACCTGAACAAGTTGTTAAATCATATAAAATAAGAATATCCACTGTAAATCATTAGTTTATTATAATATATTTTTGCTCAAACGCTTGTGATTGGCTCGTCCCTATATTAGAGTCTCGCCGTCCCATCTGTTGTAACCTCTTATTAATCACCTCCTCTCTAAAGTACGCTGTGAACCAATCGTATGTTAGCATCACGTGTTCAACTTGGCTCCGTGAACTTGAAATTGCCCAAACGCTTCTGATTGGCTCGTCCCTAAATAAGAATCTCGCCGAAAATGGTATTAATAGGTTTCACACTCCACACCCTATCTACATTCCCCAGGATCACAACTGTAATTACTCTCAGGAAGAAATTTTCACACCCGATAGTACCAACTTATGACATAAAAACGGCTCGCATGTGTAATAACAGTCGCAAATCCTTCCGGTTACGCACAGCAAACCTATCTCACGCTAACGTAAATAGCCATAACAGAGGCTACCAGTCTAACCATCAAGACTATTTTGCAAATAACCATAGCCATCATCCATCTTTACATAATATAGTTACCAGTCAAGTACCAATGAAATATATGTCTGTTATTCTCTAATTTAATATATAGCTATTCTTAAGTAATAATCAAGCTAATAGATCGATTAAATTTTCTTTTTAAAAATGACACACATGATCTAATCAATTTATCTTCATTATTGTGATGAAATTTACTTATATTACTGAAAAGGGAATACAAGAATACAGCCGTTTTATACTACTATTAAAATAGTATCCTTTGTCTACAGATAGATATCTTTGATCCGATCCAATTGACTCAATGTTGAATAGATTCAACTTACTCATCATAATACATGGATTCATTTAACGAGGAAATGTTTTCTACAAACTCACTAACAAATAACAAAGGTTGTTTAGAAGAAGTAAGTTTCATATTCAATTTGTGCGAATATTAAATTTTCTTATGAATATATAAACAATGAATATGAATTTTTAGTTCTAGAATAAAGATTTCAATAGTTGAGATCATGAGTCAATTGAAACTAGACCACCATGGAAAATCTAGATGCACTGGACGTCCGTTTCGTCCTATTGTAGGACCCTTCAGCAGTGCTCATCCACGACCTCACCTCGCGAAATTTGAACTCAGGACCTAACAGTCTCGCGCGCGATATCTAACTTCAGTCAATCCACGAAATGCAGTGACACATCCACCAATGTCTTCAGTGAGTTACTATCTCACAACAGACCCGGTTGAACTCCACTGTCCACTGCTTCTCACCAGAACTCCAGGAAATATCTCTTGAAACCAGTCATTAATTATTATCTAAATAAGAATATGAGTGACAGTGTGGAATGATTGAATTTAGGTACATAGAATATTAAAATTCGACTTTATGATCCATTCTTAATGTGAAATTCTTGAATATGATATCTGATTAAGTCAATCATGTACACTGTTAAAATGTTTCAAACTTGAACAAGTATTCAGCGTTGCATGATCTTTACCGGTTTCTTGACATAAATCATCATCATCATCATCATTGATGCTAATGAAGAACAGTTGATTTGTGAATGTAATAAGAGATCAAAATTTTGTTTACATGACCTTAATTATAAACATAAACTTCAAATTCAACAAATAATGATCACTTTTTCAAAGTTGAAAATGAATCCTCAACATTTCTTTCTTATTGATTGTCGTTATCCACACGAATGTAATGCTGGACATATTTACAGTGCTATTAATTTATCAGATTGGCCAAAACTTTATAAATATTTTTTTGGTATAAATCAACAATCTACTGAAACTACTGAAATGGATCTAAGTAACTCATTATATTCAACGGAACAACTGATTAAACCATAACCATCTCATACTATATTTATATTATATTGTGAATTTTCTACAAAACGTGCATCACAATTATTTTATCGTTTACGTAATCATGACAGACTATTACATTTCACTTCATATCCTGCATTAAAATATCCATTTGTTTATATATTACATGGTGGTTATTCAACTTTTTATAAAAAGTACCCATATTTATGTGAACCAGATCTTTTAAGTATTTGGCATAAACATTGTAAACTGGTTAATAAACAATCGATGAATTCTCATTCACAAGTATATCCTGATAAAAATCATAATGAAATGTTAAACACACACACGCACATCAATCAATCAACGAATCGACACATTAAAGTACCATTCAAAAGTATTACCAATCTCTTTCACAAGAAGAAAAAATAGAAGAAAAAGATTTATTTCATTGAACCAAAACTTATTAACTTATTTATGTCCGTTACTCCTTATGGAAGAGTATAAGTCGCCCAGCAACATTCTCAATCCAACCTTGTCTTGATGAATCCTTTCCAGTTCTTTTCAATTGTTATTCTTTTTTTTCATGTCTGTTTCCAAGTTCCGACATTGTGTATTCTTCGAACGTCTTCTTCTTCTTGTTGTATGTTTTCCTTTACGACTCCATGTTATTGCTTGTCTCATGATGTAGTTCGATTCCAGTTCAATACTATTTACTTGTTACTTATTTATTTCATAATTATTTTCATCTCATTTCTTCTATTCATAATGATTAATATAAGTAATATCGATTCAATTCATTTTGATCGAAAAGTTTTCTCTCAAACGCAATTCATTAACATTGCAACCTATTCAACATTGAATATGCTTCTTTTAATTCAATCATTATTAATGTCTTTGTTTAAATATATTTTTCTTTTATTTTCATTGGTTGATTAACTAGAATTAAAAGAGAAAAGCTTGACAAATACAACTTAAAAATGAGTTTATATGGAGAGAGAGACCGAAGGCCTTGGGTTCTAATCCCGCGAGCGGGTTCGTGGATGTGTACTGTTAATTAGTCCCATAATATAATGAAACGGACAGCCAGTGCTTCTAGGTTTTCAACAATGGTCGTGCACTGATTGATGTGAGATCATCACTGAAAATCCGAAAGCACTGGATGACCGTTTCGTTCTGTTGTGGGACTCCTGAGAACTGCGTATTCAAAATCCAGCTCGCGGGAATCAAATCTAAGGCCTTCAGTCTCGCGCACCAATGCTTAAACTTCAGACCAGTAAGCAGGCATCCAACGGTGTTAATGTCTAACTTCGATCAACCCATGAAATTTTGCGACCATCTTCCATTTTACTGAGGTAGGTACCTGTCTCTACCCCACATGGATTAGTTCCACTGATCACGGCTTCTCACTGGAACTCCGGGAATTCCCACAATAGGACAAAACATCAAAACCATTTTCATGTTCAATATGTCATCGAGGCTTTTGTCAATCACGTTCATTAGAAAATCATAAACCTTCAAACCATCCAATTAAAAAAGATGAAACCGGTACAAAATTCAATGATAATCATTCGACTAGATTGATTTATACAACAGCTAATATTATTCCTATAAATGACATGAATACTACTACTACTACTACTACTACTACTAATAATAATAATAATAATAATAATAATAATAATAATAATAATAATAGTAGTAGTAGTAGTAGTAGTAGTAGTAGTAGTAGTAGTGCTAGTACTAATATGAATATCTGTACTACAAATTGTGACGTGATCAACATAATAAGAAATAATAAGGCGGTATAAATACAATTTAAATAATGTATTCAACAATTGTTTTCATGGTTAATATTTTGGTTTGTTTTGTTTTAATGAATGAACAAAATGAAAAGAAAAATACTTTATTCACTTTCTAATGAATGATTCATGTGTTATTTAATTCATTTACATTTTGATTTATTTTTCATTTCGTTTAAAGAAATAAATATATTTTATAAAAAGGAAAAGAAAATTAATTTTGGTTACTAAGCAAAGATGGATAGTGACTAATAGTGGAATTCAGGACGTGTGGTTCGTCTTAATTTGATACTCATCACTTGGTGTGAATAACAAATCTGAGATGTGGGCACATCCAGCTGATGAGTTTCAAGTAGGATGAAATGCGTGTTCTGGATTCTATTGTTATCCACCCTCTGTCTTTGTTTATAATGCTTGTGACTTAAGACAACATTGGGGCAATACACACAGAATGCATATATGCCAATAAGAGATTGATCAATTACAGTCCTAAACATCGATGGGAAGATTGAAGTAAACGTTGCCAAGTGAATTTAATATTAGTTAAATTTAATTTATCCTGGTACATCCAACTGATGAGTCTCAAATAGAAGGAAACGCGCGTCCTGGATTCCACTGATAACCATCATGCACCTTTGCTTATAATATTTGTTAATTAAGGCATTATCAAAGCAATCCGTACAGGATGTACCCATTCCAATAAGAGACTGATCAATTGCAGTCCTAAACATCAATAGGACGATTCAAGTAAACAATACCAAGTGAATTTAAATAATTTCTTTTCTTCTGCAATACTATTTGGATATTTTACATAGAATAACAACTACAAAGTAATCTATATGTATTGAACTTGTAGAGTTATCCAGGCAAGTAAACTGAATACAACAGTAAGCATTGACTACACCATATTTTAATATTATTAAGAAGAAATACAAATATTTTCAGATAAACTGTGTAAGAACAAAACGCTTGAAGTGACTAGTCATTGAATGTGAATTATTTAAATGATCAGTAATTAATTCATTTGCACCACTAAGTCTTTATATCTGTAAACTATAACTTCATTGATTGAAACGCAGTTTCATCATTACTAATGATCAGTGCTTTAATGACTAAATCACTGAAATTAATACAATGTATTTCTTTGCTAATGATATCTGACAATCGTAAAGTATCAGGGTGGAGTGTTGCATGGTGAACTCTTTTCACTAACATTCTTGAATTTATAAGATGTGTTATCAGTGAAAAATAAGTGAAAACTATGATTTCAGGGAAATAAATGTTGCGGTACTTAGTGATCTATATGTATTTAAAAGAAAATTTGTTTGACACTTCGGCTTTAATGCCAGCACCTAGAACAATGTGACTGAGAACCAACACACAAACTTGTTCTTGTATTGATGAATGAACATGTTAAAGATAATAATTAACTGACCAGTCAAGGAAGATGACTATGTATGACTCACGTTTATCACGAGAACACGACTGGTTTAATAAAAACAATTATTATTATAACCACTGTACCAGTGTTTGTTTTAACGTGCTTTTGTTTGACTGTGCTAATGACAGCTATTTTGTGCTTCCATTCTCTTACTTACACTTTGATTGTAACTTTGCGCGAATTCGGTTACCTTCTGTAACCAAGGTTGTATCCTGGCACGATCTTGGTATCCTTTCGATGCCACGAGATCGCCAGCTAATAAACCTCGACTTAGTCCATTAATTGCTTTCTGATATTTAGCTTTTCGGGGATTTTATGGATCTATTTGGTTACGTCCAACCCTCGCCTTCTGATTTATTTGGCACGTGTTTCTTGGTAGCGGTGTTCATAGTTAACCTCAATTCGACACCACGCTACAACGATCTGATTATAACAAAGATATGAGATTATTTTTTATTCTCTCTGTGTCTAGTCTGATTTTATTCTGCATTGATTGCTTGTAATTTGTGTCGGTAAATTATTGTTCTGGCCTGTTGTAATCTAGTTCTCAATACACTTTGTAATTTCTCTCAATAAACATTCGTTTCTTCTACCAATTGCTTTGTTCTACAATATGATTACATTGTTCTAGCTAGAATCTCGTATCACTGATGTATGCTGTGTCTCTGAAACACGCATACAGGATCACAGCGTGGCCATTCACTTGACCTCACCTCAGCGAAACGGAGAGCCAACGAGATACACCCTCCGAGTATCTGGTGACCCGACGGCCAGCTCTCGTGGACTGGCAGGAGTTGGCATAGCACTGAACATGACGGCGGAACAAGCACTGTTAGAGTGGATTCCCGTTAACAGTCGTTTATGTGCTGTTCGGCTAAACGGCTCCATAAGAACTCGGAAGGATAGGGACACACGTCGTTGCCTTTGTGTCGTTTCTGCCTACGCTCCCACCGACTTCAGCTCAGATGAAGTGAAGGATGAATTTTACAGAAAGATATCTGAACTTCTTCAGAAAGCTGAACGTTCAGACATGGTACTCGTAGCGGGTGACTTTAATGCTCAGATAGGTATTTTAAACCAAACAGAAAGGCATTTAGGTGGGTATTTTAGTATTCCAGCACAACGAACAGATAATGGTGATCGTCTGCTGCAACTGTGCTCAGACAATCGTTTATTTTTAGCAAGCACAAATTTTAAGCATAAGGAGAGACATTGTCTAACATGGTGACCCCCTACCCCAAACCAACGATGGACTCTAATAGACCATATTGCCATCAGTCATCGTTGGAGAGGGTCGGTAGAAGATTGTCGTTCATTCTGGAGTACCTGCTTGGACTCCGACCATGCCCTAATACGGGCACGCATCTGCTTGCGCCTCACTGGACGCAAAAAAGCCTCGGTTAAAAGACCCATTAGAACTGAATTGAGTAACGAGAAAACCAAAAGTAGGTTCCAGGAACAACTGAGGTCACAATTAGGTAGTTCTGAAAACGAGGCTGACCCAGATGTTGCTTGGAAGGGCATGCAATCAGCTGTGGAAACAGCAGTGACATCTATTAGTGATTTAAGCCACAGGGTTACAAAGAACCAATGGATTCCTTTCAAGGTCTATTGCACTGATGGATTCTCGTAAACTCATCCCATCGGGTTCTGAACACGATGAAGAGCGAAAACAAATCAGATCTAGGTTAAGCGAAAGTCTAAGAAACGACCGTGAGCAGTGATGGGCAACGAAAGCAAAAGACATGGAAAAAGGCGGCTCTACAGACTAATAAAATAACTGCAATTAATAAGTCAAGTGT